TGTCCATCACACTGGCATTAGTAGATGCCATGGAGGAGCAAGCACAGAAAACCAAAGTGTAGATTTAGCAGCCCTGACTCAAGTCATGCCTGAAGTCCAAAAGCCTGAATTTGATTTGCACTAGTGCCTCTTAACATTGCCACAGCAATGTTAAGGGACTTTGAAGTGGGAGTAAATTACACTGAATTTATGGCCCCTTTGCACTGTTAGAGTCATGTAAAGGGGAGGGTACTGCGGAGAACAATCCAACCCTGTATCTTTGAACATGGAACAGTTTACTGTTTCAGATGCTATAGGAGCAGATAAACCAAAGGACAAACACTTAGTAGTGACAGGACTAGACTACAAATCTGGATATTGTCTTTGCAAGAGTGCATAATGGTAATGGCAAAGTGTTTGCAGCTGTTTTGAACTTCTTATAGCAAGGCAGAGAGCCCCTGATTTTCAACAAAGACCCATACAAACAAAAAAGAATTGATTACAGCAGCAGTCTTTGAAATCTCATCATAGCACTAGCTAAACAGATAGGACAAGCATCTTGCAATGAAGGTAGCTTAAATCTTAAAGTGGTGAAAGGGTGCTGGTGAAACCAGTGGTTGTATCTGAAAACAGCTCAAATACTCTCTTCTTGATAAACAAAAACAAGGGACTCAAAGAGAATCTCTTAGTCATACTCTGAAGGGCACCTTGAGCATTTCTTGGAATACCTTTTCACCTACTGGTCTCTTAAATGGCAATTCTGGCCTCTATTGAAAATGTAGCAAACAAATATTTTGAATACCCTGCATGCCTGCCAAGTAGCATTGCAACAGAAAGTTGTTTTATAGGAGAAAAATGGATTTTTCAGTTACACTAGTTATGTTAAGAAGTAAAAGGGATATCAATTCTCATGTTCCAGAGCATAAACTGATCACAAGCTGGGTACAGGAAGAAATATCCCCTCATGGTATAGTAATACACAGTTATGTGCATTATGAGGTTTTATGCTTTTTCTCAGAAGCATCTGGCATTGACCACTGTCAGAAACAGGATAGTAGATGAGATGGACCATTGGTCTGTTCCATATGGCAATTCCGATGTTTTAAATATTTTTGCACAGTGGGAGATGAGGTTGCTCCTCCCATTGCAAGCTAGACCCTTAACATGAGCAGCAGCAATTTGTGTTTATGAGAACATACTTGCCATTGCAAAATTATAATCTCTAATCTCGGGCCTAGAAAAAGGCAGCATTGCTAGAAGAAAGAAAGAAAGAACATTTTTATGTATATATTTGCATTTTTTTAAATATTAGGTCCATTAAAAAAAATTCTACTCATATTCCTTAGGATGGCCAAGAGTCATGAATGACTATGTGCTACGGGTAGAGAGGTCTCGGAGGGAGATGGGGGAAGAGACTGCTTAAAAGGAGTTGAGTCCTTTAGATTTCAGAGCCCTTTTTTTGTGGTTGGCAGAGGAAGACCAGGCATGATAGTATCAAGTTTTAAGCATAATGAGCCTGGGTTGAAATGTGCAATTTTGGTCCACTGGTTTTGCCTGCAGTTTTCTCTCAGGAATGTGGGCATCAGATGATCGGGATCAGGCTTGTCGGTCCATACTGCAAGACCATATACATTGTCTATATGGCTAATAAAGTTCCAAACAACCATGACGAATAAAGGATGAGGCCTCTGACTGAAACCTGTTTGGATGACTCTACAAAGCCTGTGCTGGCACAGTTGTCTCCAACTGGGTATTCAGTTCAGCATAAAACAAAGGAGAGTCAGGAAGTAGCGTTGCCATCATATTTGCACCTGGCCTTAAATGTAGGTGGTCTATCATTCCAAAACTAATTCCAGTTGACTGTCTCTCTTTTGCATGTGAGTTCCAGGATGAGATTAAGAGGGGACTTGTACAAAAAACCCCATTGCTCCACCAACCATGATGGTCTAATTGAGCTGACTGCGACCCCTGGTAGTGAAAGAGTCACTGACAGGGATTGATGTCTATGCAGATAATTCTTTTGGGTTAGGTCAAGATGTCATAGGGGAATTCTCTTTGTTTTTCTTTAATCAGCCATTTTCAGTCCACTGCTGGATGAAGGGCTACCCCACTAAGATCCACTTTACCAGGGAAGTATCTTGGTTGATTTCTGATAACTCTTGCATCTGGCCAACTTCTGGACCTTGTGTTCAAGCAGGGCTTTGAGACTGGGGTGTATGTGTATGTGGAAGTGGCACCCTTGTCATAGACTGACCGTTGCCCCTTCTGATCTGTTTTAACCGTCCAAGTTCAGTGGCTAATGGAACTAATATACTTCAAGATGGCACAGAGATAGAATACTATTTAGTCAAACAGCTCACTTTATCACCTTGCCTGATAGGATTTTACAATGAACTTTTGTCTTCAGCCAATCACACTGTAGCTTTTATACCCTCTTACCAGACTTTTTCCTCAGTGGTCAATGGTACACCAGAAAAACCGCAACACATGAAACAAGTGGGAAGATGTTTGGAATAATGGAGGCAGAATTTTTATGCCAAGTCTGGCAGAGTACAATGATTTGTGGATGTCTTATGCTGTGGTTGTGCATAAGGCAAGGAAAGATTTTTGCAACCTCCATTATAGAATCTACAAATATGTAAGCAGGAAAACTAGCCTGGGCTGTGTGTGGACGGCCTGGTGAATCCGGGTTGTCTCCACTCAGTTATCAAGTCAGATTTTCTTTGTTGTCAGGAATTTCCATGGGTACTTTGATGATAGAAAAATGCTTGGATCCAGACCAAACTGTCTGCCTCTGTGGTTGCAGAGCAGTATCTGAGGGTGGGGGAGGGAGATGTCCAATTTCTTTGCTTGAATTTTAGCCAGTATTGTTCAGTGAGGCTCTGGAACTGCTGCAGCAGTTGTAAACCTTGTGTGATGAAGGTTAGGGTAGAAGCACTGGGTGCATTATTGACGGTGTCAGTGCCATGCTTTGGGAGGGCATGGTAACAGCTGTCCTTACGAAAGCAATTGTGAGATCTCTGCTCAACGGTCCATCTTTCACGGAGGACAATCTTCCCTAACAACAGACTCATTTTGAACTTCCCTTTTCAGGGAAAATTTGTTAAGACTATTGTGGCAAAGCAAATCTGGTAACATCCCGAGCCTACGATTTCTTTGGTCCCAGTTAACCTTGATTCCAGCCTGGATACCATATGGAAACTGCAGTAGTTATGTTGCTCTAGCTCAGCTCTTGGAGCTGGACGAAGATCAAGCATCCAGGCTGATTTTAGTTCTGCCAGCTGTTTTCAATACCATACATAGATTGTGAGGCTCTGGTGATGCGTCTATGGTCTCTAGCAGGGATAGATGAAGTTTCTCTTGTGTTGCTCCATTCCTTTGTTTTTAAGAAGTCACAGGGTAGTACTAGCCAATGTATTATTTGTCCCAGTGGCTCTCTCTCATGTGGGGTACCACAGCATTCTATTCCTCTGCCCTCTTGTGTATGGTGTCTATGAGTCTTGGGAAGGATTAGTGAGCAAGCATGGACATCAATATCTTCAGTATAATGATGAAACCCAACTCTGTGTGTTTACTTCAGCTGACCCAGGTGGTGCAGTTTGATACTTGTTCAGCAGAGGAGAGCTCCTGCAGGGACATGGAAGGAGGAGAGGCTTGTGAGCTCTCCTCCTCTCCCACCCACACTTGTGCGGCCACACACCATCTAGCCCACAGGTTGTCATGCTTAACAATGCTGTTGGAACCTTACCATTTACATTGCCTGACTTTGTTTTGTATGTGTGATTTTTAACCATGCCGCCTATCATTGTGATTTCCTAGTTATCTGCATTTAATTCCAGACATGAACTAGATTTGTATCCATGATCCACCTGTGATACAGATCTGTGTGGCTAGCACTACGCTCCCAGAGACAGTAGGGTGCGTCTTTGCAATACTCTCCAAAGATGCAGGTGCACACTGTGTGCTATTCTTATCCTGCTTTCCAAATGTGTGTTTCATAGTTAGCACAGTGTGCCAGTGTGTTGACAGCAAGATATTCCAAGTCTAATCTGAATAGTTACAATGGAAGAAGACAGTGGCAAGAATCACATTTTCTTGTGAGCTGACACGCTGCAGAGGTAACATTTTTGGCCTCTGCTCTGGGGAAAGGATGCCAAGCCCAGTTGCTAGAAGCCTAATGGAAAACAAACCGAGAGGTGAGAGGAGCCATTTGCTTTAAAATGTTTATATCTTTACCATGATTCACATGTTAACTAATTATTATGGGTCCAAATCTTCAAGTCTGACCTTGACTAGTACTTACTCAGCACGTGTACAAACAAACAAACAAACAAACAAACAAAAAACCCTACAAAAATAAAAATCAAACAACTACACAGCACACACTATTCTTCCCCTGGGGAGAGGATGTAAGATTGAACTACATGTGACAGATATTAGTCACAGCACTTAATTAACTACTGAAAGGCACTCAGTGATGAGAGCAGTCTAAGAACTCACACAGAACAGTATACTCACGTAAGTAGTTCAGTAGTTGAATTCAGCGTAAGCCCAGTACTACTCATCATGAGTAAGAGCTGTAGAATTGGTCCCTACATGTGAACAATGTATGTAAGAAATTGTGGCATTAAGAGTGACTTCTCCAAGATGGATGATTACGGTATGTCACATGAAAGACTCCCCTTATCCAAGGTGGATCTCATATGCTTAGGTTGGATTCCCTGCTCATGTACTATATACCTTGATGTAAAAAAAGCAGAAAAAAACCATTCCAAAAACTTCTGAATGTTTAAATTAAATTGGTAAAATAAAAATGCCAGAGGGACACACACTGAAAAGTATGTACATATTATAATGGTGGCAACACCAGCAGCAGAGGGATGAAGGAAGAGGGCAAATAAAAGAGCATATTAGAGAGAAATCAGCAGCACTATTATGATGGGATTTGCTTTATCAGTGTTCTTACATCTGGGTGGCTTCTGCTCTTAGAATATAATACAGTAGGAAAAAATGTCCATTACCTTTCAATTTTTCAGCCAGCAAAGTAGCTTCGTGTTCAGAATAATGCATTATTGCCGGAGGAGAGGGAGGTCGTAGTCTGTCTTCTTCCATTTTGCGCCTATGACGTTCTTCTCTGGCCAGCATTCTTTGTTTGCATTCCCATTCATAAAAGTCATCTCTTGCCTGAGCAAAATCAACATGAAGGCGACCTGAATCCTTTTTGTCTGTGCTAGATCCTAATCTCATGCGGTAACCTGAAAGCAACAAGCAGAACTGTTGCAGTTTTTATTTAATTATACATTTTAGGCAGTGGGGGGGGAAAAATCAAAAGTTCATTTGCTTTTATCTAGCCACCTTGATCTCCTAACAACCATCTCATATCAAACTTTTCATTGTCATTTACATATACATCCAACCTTCTATATTTCTAAAGCATACAACACCACAGTAGCTGAGCTGATGGGATAGACTCACCCAGTGAAATTTGGATCCAGGTTTAGAACACCCTCAAACTTTGGGGTATTCCAGTTTGAGGTTCCAAACCTTTATAAGCACAGAGGTCACTTGCAAAACTGCGCAGCAAGACTGGATTTGGATTTTGAACCCCCCCAACCCTGGGAGTGTTTGGATCAGGCTTAGTTCTGATTCAGAAGATTTGGACAAAAGATTGAAAGCCTTGAAAATCCCTGCCAGAGATAAATGAGCAAATTGTGTTATAGAAATTGCCAGCCCCAGGGATAATGCATCACACTCTGCATTGAAGCTGGACCTCAGGTTTTGACCTTTCATAGTCACAAACACAATATGCTAACAGCATGGGAGCAGATATAAATAGATGATCAAATTTAGTCTAAGAAGAACTGCATTTATACTCAATATTTTGTCTGAAAATGATTGTAATAGAGTACACTGGTTTATCAGAAGAAGCATCTTGTTGTAGACAATGTATAAAAGGTGCTTGTTATGTCCCTTCAGTAAGGTCTTATGTATTCATAGGTGGGTCAATGCTGCACCTGCTAAAACTAACAGATTGTAAGCTCCTTAATATAGTGACCATGCACAATGGGGCCCTGGTTTTCATTGGAACCTCTGGGTGCTAAACGAAGAAAGGTAATCCGCTGGGACAACACTGCACAACAGCTTAAGCTGAGCTGTTAGGATAGGTCCTATTTTGCTAAGAATCCTTGGGATACTGTACAGATGCCTATTGGTGACAATGGGCAAAGGGTTCACTGCTCTTTATAAAGCAGCTCCTGTCTCAGCCCTGACAAACTCACTACCCCAACACATCACTTTCATGGTATCAATATATGAAGGGTTGCATGGGAGGTCTCTACTGAAAGCTTTGCATGGTGTCAAGTATCAGGGGGGTAGCCATGTTAGTCTGTATCCACAAAAACAACAAAGAGTCCGGTGGCACCTTAAAGACTAACAGAGTTATTTGGGCATAAGCTTTTGTGGGTAAAAAACCTGAAGAAATGAGGTTTTTTACCCACGAAAGCTTATGCTCAAATAAATCTGTTAGTCTTTAAGGTGCCACCGGACTCCTTGTTGTTATTGAAAGCTTGTAATTTATCAATACTTGTGATCATTGTGAGAGATGTGTGTATGGGTAATATTTATGGAATAATATGACTGTAGTAAAAATTTTGCCCATAATGTCTTGGAGTGAAGGTGAGTCCACCAGGGGATCTTATGTCCTGGGGTAATGGCCCATTCAAGGTGGCTGGGGAGTTGTCACCTCTCCCTGGCTGGCCAATTATGTAATGTATTGTTCATCTTGCCCCATCTCAGAAAATTCAATGGAAAACCATCAAAGAGAACTTGAAGGTAAAAAGGAACATTGCAACAGACAGAATATCACCCTATCTGTGAATAAAGACAAAAGACTATTTTGGTATATCCCATCCCAACGCGGAGAGTGCAGGGCTTGTTGAGCAGGGCTGTTTCATGAAAGACTGGACTGTGGTTCCTGTGAAGCTCTGCAACATACTGAACTTCGGGGAGAAAATCTATCGTATTAGATAGGAAGGTAACTATTAAGAAGGGTAGACCCTATTCACATTTTATGATTTTGTTTTGTATTGTTTCCATCACCCTTTCTTGTTTCTAGTGGAACCTGTATTCTTTCTTAAATAGACCTTCTTTCGTTTTAAGTGCTCACAAGTGCTGTGCATTCTACAGGAGTGGTGATTTAGGGTATAGGCGCTGACTTCTGCTCCCACCGGTGGGTGCTTGACTTGCCTCTGTCCCCGTCCCCGTCCCAACTCCACCCCTTCTATGAGGCCCTGCCTCTTCCCCGCCCCCCTTTCCAACCCTTTTCTGAAAATCCCTGCCCCAACTCTGCCCCCTCCCTGCCCCTATTCTGACTCCTTCCTCAAATTGCTGCCCCGGCCCTGCCTCCTCCTCTGAGCGTGCCATGTTCCCGCTCCTCCCCCTCCCTCCCGGAGTGGCCGAACAGCTGTTTGGTGGCAGCTGGGTGGGAAGCGCTGGGAAGTAGGGGAGGAGCGGGGACGCGGCGTGCTCAGGGAAGGAGGTGGGGAAGGAGTCAGCGCCTCCCACAGAGTCACCCACAGAGTCACCGCCTATGATTTAGGGTAAAACTGGTAAACTGGGCCACATTGCTTCTGTGGGGGCAGAGGATCTGGGATTTCTGTGAGCAGCCAGTGGCAGGGGCTGGATATCACAAGGGGACTCAGGAAATGGACATCTCAGGTCTGGTATAGCCCAGAGGGGAATGCTCGAGAGGCTGAAAAGCAGGTAGTGTTATAGAGCTAACACCCAGGGCTGGTCTTCACTACTCGCCTGGATCAGCGGGTAGAAATCAATCTCTCGGGGATCGATATATCGCGTCTTGTCGGGACGCGATAATCGATCCCCAAATTGACGCACGTACTCCACCAGCCCAGGTAGGAGTAAGCGCCATTGACGGGGGAGCTGTGGTGGTCGATTTGCCGCCGTCCTCACAGCGGGGTAAGTCGGATCAGATACGTCGAATTCAGCTACGCTATTCCTGTAGCTGAATTTGCGTATCTGAAATCGATCCCCCCCGTAGTGTAGACGTAGCCCCAGTCACCACAGGCAAGACTCCCTCTGGCTAAAGGTAAGAGGTATCAAGATGACTCAAAGCCCTGGATACCCCGAGAACCATCACAATCCTTTCTCAAGTTATACATTACTGACTGAAAGAAAATCTTAAAATAATCCTCCTAGTTCTTAACCAGTGCTTCAGGGGAAATTTTAGTGAGTGCAGAAAGCTATAAACCGTGCATACAATCACAGGAGACACTGAAAAATAGGTAGAATCCGCCATTTTGCAGAAGGATTGCACAAATCCCACTATGCCCACCCTTGTAATAACCCATGAGGGTACGAGGGGAACAGCCCAATAGGGGCCTCTGGATCCTTTGCATGCTGGGTAGCTGAGCTCCACGCTGGCTCTGGTTAGGCTGTCCCTAAAGTAAGTCACTCTATTAATCTGTCTCGATGCATTTATGAAGACCCAATGACTGGGGACTCCTGTGTACGGCGCATGAAAAGGCAAAAGCTGTTTTTCTTCCCATAAACTTGAACAGCAGCCACTGCCTGCCTGTGCCTTGAGCAGGTTTGATCCTGTCCCTCCTGGATACCACAGGGTTCCAACGCAGCCTTTGGGCTTTGTAAGGGGAAGGGCAAACCTGGGCTTTGAACGGCGAGGGGTGAATGCTGTGACACACTGAGTGCACTTCTAACTTAGGGCTATAATATGTTCTATCTGATTGTTGTTAAGGGGGTTATTGTATAGATTAAAAAGGGTTAGTTAAAACACAGGTTGACTGCACATATGCAGAAAAGGGGACAATGGCTTCAGATACTTAAGAGACAATGAAGGTGATATTTGCTTTGAAGTTTTACCTCTAACACCCAGTCTAGCTTGGCAAAGGGGAGAGGGGTTCCATCTTGCAACCACAGGAAACCTGGAACAAAGAACAGCCCACAAGGACAGGGCAGAGAGAGACTGTTGGAGAACAAACTGACACCCAGAGCCCAGAGATTAGGAGACTGGGGTAAGATAGGCCTGCCTAAACCTTTAGGAAAGATAAACATGTGTACAGATTGTTACTGTTTTAAACTCTTCTCCTATACTTTTCCATTTTCCCACAGTTAAAATTAAACAATACTTTAGTTTAAGAAAGCCATTTGGTGTCACTGTATTCTCCACTGGCCACAAGATATCAAATGGAAGAACCACAGGTACTCGAACCCACTCAGACCTGTTGGGGGTAAGGACTCCCCGGCTGCTGTAACCAAAGACCTGGTCTGCGAGTGGGAGAATGGTGTGAGTTCACTCCAGGGAGGTAGAGGTCTGAGGCCTTCTACTAGTGGGGGATGCACTCAGAGAGGCATAAGAAGAGGTCTGTAGTGCAGCTAGCTCTGTAACCATGACAAATGTCAGACAAATCGATTGACTCCCAGCATGTATTTCTCAACTAACTAATTTTGTAAGAACCTTATCAGTCGTGTCTGAGGGACACTGCCGAAGTACCCAGGGTCATGAGCCTAAAATTAGATTTCCCAGCTGTGTTGTGTTTTTCACTCTGTATGACCTTGTGAATGCGCCCCCTCTGTTCTGCTTGTCTCCTCTGTTGTTATGAGCAGATAGGGTATTGAAATGTGGAAGAGTCTTGCTCTTGGAGCCTTTCAGAGAGTAAGATTCTTACATATGTCCAAACTCTGCCCATTCACAATGACAAAGGAGCGAAGTGGGAGGGCTGGTATAAAGGTGGTTTCACCCTAAGCCAACAAAAACCTGGAGTGTGCGATTGGGAAGCTGAATTTTATCAGAGCAGCCCTGTCTTTTGGGAGCAGATAGAGAGAAAAGTGTAGAGAGGAAGGTGCAGTTTGAGCACAGCACAGGGAGCCAGGAATATCTGCGTTTCACTCCTAGATTTGGTGTCCTTCACAAGAGAATTTTCAAAAGACCTCTTTAGTGCGGCCAGTTTTGAGTGCATCCATGAATGACTGAAAATCAGATTGACTGTTCGGCCGCTCTGGCTGCACTGGCCAACCAGCCAAAGGGTTTTTGTGAGCATCCATGTCATAATGTCAAAATTAGTCCCACTCTTTCAAAATGTCACAGCAGCCCTCCTTAGGCACAGTCAATCTAGGCACTTCAGCAGTCCTTAAATGGACTATTGGGACAGTAGAATGGCCTCAGCAGTACCTGGATTGACATAAACTCAGATAGGTGTGTGGCTGGCATGACCATACACTGGGTGGTGTGTGTGTGTGTCTGTCAGACTCTGCTTTGTTTATAGAGCCCCCTGCAAGTCAGTCAGCATGGCAGCGGTGAGTTGTAGAGAAGTCTGAACGCCTGCTATCTTCCATTATTTTATGCTCTTAACAGTGTTCAAAGGTATTTGAACAGATAATAGCACCCCCCACACCCTTTTCAGACCTCCTCCTGGAAGAGCAATGAATTTCACTCACACAACGTCTTCCCACCTAGGTGCTTGGAACAGCAGCTAGCATTAACTGCATGCAGGATGTGTCATTTTAAATCTCTGTTTCTCACACACAGACAGAGGAAGGAATTTTGGTCACTCACCAGGAGCCTAACTTTAAAAGAGCAGCACCAGGAAAAATCAATTACTATGCTGTAAAAATAAAAACCAGCCTTTCCATGTTCCACATCTAGTATATGCTCCAAGACTTACCTTTTGTGATTGGGTGTAACTGAGCAGGGAGCTGGCCAGTGAATGCCCTGAATAAAGGGAGAGACACGCCTAGACTCGGACGTCCAAAAGAGAGGGCCTAGGGGCATGAGCATTGAGTGGGGGCTTAAAAATGACATTATACATTGCCTGGATACTCAGCACTGGGCAGAAACTGGGACACATTAGCAGATATAAATCATATTCAAAGTTTTGCCCATAATCTTGAAAGTTCTCCACAGGGCCGGGCACTGGCAACCTAAGATATTGTCCCGCTCTTTGTGTCCATGACTGCTTAGAGTTTCACGAGCTATGGAACCAGCCCAGTCATGAGGGTGAAACATACGAGGGCAGGAAGCAGAACTTTCTCATCAGCTGGTCATGGCTATTTGGAATTCACTTCCATAACAGATCAGAATGGCAGCGAACTGCACAACCTTCAGAGCAGAATGTACGCGTCTCCAGCTTAGCAGTACTGCAATCAAAAGCCAACATAATGCCTCCTCCCAACCCCCCAAACATCCATTTGGAGTTAGAAGGGAAAGAACTAGCCATTAGACTGCTTAATGGATTTTATAATTGCATAAGGTACTATGGAACTAAGCATGGGATAAATACCTAGATAGATTAGATTAGATTGGATAGACAGATAAAAGCGATTAGACAGACTAACTCATCATTATCAAAGGCATGGTTTTCCCTCATATAACAAGTATAGTGAAGTTATAATAAATTATACCTTCTATTTGTAGGTCTCTTTTGTATATTATAGGCTTGGGAAATTGCTTTAACTGTATGTTTTTCTTCTACCATTTCCAAATGCATTATGTTTCAAAACACTATAAAGATCAGTTAGAAAAACACAGTCATTCAGTACAATTAAAACCTGCCTCTAGTGCATGATCTGTGTTCTCTGCAGTGCTGGAAAACAGTCAAGGCCCTGAGTTTACTGCAGAATTCCATGGAAATTAGGGCTGACAGCACAAGTTAGCTGATTATGGAAGCAATGCTCACCTGTTTCTTTTTCTCTATCCCTCACTCCCAACCCACTGTCCCTTCTTTAGTGTGGCTGGAGACACTAGGTAAAAAGTCCGCCAGAGGAACAAATGGAACGAAGAAAGAGGAAGAGAAGGAGAGAGAAGAATATGGAGATAGGGAGGAAAGGAAAACAGAAGAAAGCAGAGGTGGGAGAGTAAAGAGGAGAGTTATGCAAGCAGCAGTGAAAAGGAAGAGTGAACAAAGAGGGAGGGGGAAGTATGGAATGAAGAATGAAGGGGAGAGTCAGGAAGGAGAAAGTCATGGGAGCTTGGAAATAAACCTGCACAGAATGAGGGGAAAGGGGAGCAGAAAGGGAGTTTAACTTCCACCCCTGCTCTCTTTCCTGATTGTCCCCTAACTATAATACATTATCAAAAAGAAACTGGCAAAATTGGAAGTAATACATTGCATATATAATAATCAGCAGACCTCATGTTTCAGCATTTAAGGCAATTAGGGGTCAGAAGGAAACTTTCTTTGGGGTCAAGTTATCTCATATCTGCCTCCTCAGGATTCCTGTAACCATCCTCTGAAGGATCTGGTGTCAGTCACTGTCAGAGACAGGATACTGAACTAGCTGAACTAACTGGACTTTGATTCTGATCTAGCTTTTAAAATTTCCTTTAAAAAATGATTTCACCTCCCCGAGCTCCAAAGACAGGAAATTCAAAATAAAATAATAATAATAATAATAATAATAATACTTTTTTTAAAAGAAAGAGTGGCTGCCTCTTTGTAAATGAGGTTTTTCCATGTCACAATTTAACATTCACCCAAGTTTAAAGGCATGAAACTTGATTTTTGTTTTAAAAAATGGTAGTTGGTGGAGATCTTAAGGAACATTCCCAACACTATACTAGGTCAGATTTTCTCATGAGGAGTAGTACTTTATTGAACAGATATTCCCATCAAAGTCAATGGGACTTTTTGTGGAGAAAGGTCTTATTCTGTATGTGTATGGGTATCAGAATCAGACCTATAATGTGCTTATGAAGGTAGAATCCTTTCAGGCCACACTGCAGAATGCATAAAAATATGCCAGTGAAACTTTCAGAGCTTGTCACAGAAACTGGCACTGAAGTATTGCAGCAATCCTGGCCCAGGGCCCTCCACTCCCCCCCTCCCCACCCCGACGTATGAATAAAAACCATATAAACCTGCATAAAACCGAAAATAATTGTCAGGGATGGTGGGAAATTGCTCCGGGGTAGGTAAAATTCACAGAATCACACACTAGTCTTGGTGAGCACAGGAAAATGTGGAATTACACCGTTGCCACTCCTAGCCAAAGCTGCTGAGCTCAAGCCACACTCGCTCAGATAAAGGCTAAGAAAATAAGCACACATTAGCATCATAAAATACAAATGAGAAGCACAGAAAATCCATTAAAGAATGTGAAGTACCAGAAAGGTAAATGGCTTTATCAACCATGAACTCCTCTGCAAAACGAATGTGACAAAAATTCTTCTTGCTTTTCCGAATAGCTGTAATATCTCCACACTGCTCAAAGACTTCCTGAATAATTTCCTCAGTAGCATTTTCTGGTAAACCGCCAACAAACACAGTCTTACACCCAGGAGGTCTCTCTCTCGTGGAAGGTGGTGGAAGATCTAAGTAAAAACAAAAATCACACTGGAACACAAGGCTTTGTCTTTTTATCCATTCATCCCAATCATCCCAACAATCCATTTTATGCACTAAAAATTATTCTGAATAGCAATTTATTTGTGAGGGGGTTGGGGTCAGGGACAATTAAATATTTTAGGGACTGGCCAAAACTGGATCCCTGAATTGGCACTATTTCCCATTTTGATTGTTGGTTTCAGAGTCAAATCCCTGCCATTATGATTTGCTGTCCAGGTCAGATCCAGAACCCAAAGGGGTCTATTTTCCTACTTGGATTCAATTGAAATCCCACAAGAAAAGTCTGTGATATTTTGGATGAGAGGAACCTTAGTGCTGACATGACCTCAGACACAAACCCTAAACTCTAGTATAAATCTGAGCTGGGTCTGAACTCAGCCACCCTGGCTCATCATCTCTAATTTTTTACACAACACCAACTCAAATCGATGGGTGATGAAAATCAGGCCACATTTGTTTAGGTGCCTGCATATGGACACGGGAGCCTAACTTCAGGCACTCAGGTTTGAAGATGTTACCCAGTCTTAGCATAATTTCATTTCTCTTTTGTAATACAGAAGCATAGCAAACAGCAAAACAGAGTGGGAAACACGATGAAATGACAACATGATGAAAACCCTCTGCCGGTTATCTACTTTGTCTTGTTGCCAGATAATAGAACAGAGACTAGAGCAAGGGAAGGATAACCTAACAGCACACAGAATACTCATTTGGCTGTGAAACACCACAGGATGAAGTGACTTTAAAAAAAATATATCATTTACATTTAAATTAGCAAACTTAAATTTTTGGAGGCTCTATAAAAGATAGAGTGTACATTGTCATAATGTTTCACCTTGTTTATATGTAGATTATTAGAGCACTTTTCTGGGGGGGGAAAACAGTTACAAGCCAACATTGATTAATATGAATTAGTTATTTGACACTTAAATACAGTGAGTGAGGTTAGTCTTTTAATTGTTTTTGAAACCCAGTCTGTTTGCTTAAACAATGGGCTAGGCACTGTACAAACACAGAGCAAAATTCTGTTTGCCTCCCTTTCTTTTTTCCCCATGGTGCTGGTGAAAGGCACCAACTGATGACCCTAGGAACTGAAGTCCTTTGATTTAGTCACAAGATTCTGCCTTGCTCAGTGGGAAGAGTCCATCTTTCATTTGCACAGCCCATGCAAGATTCCAGTCCCTGCACTCAAGGGAGCATAGGGACTGCTTCCCAGGGCAAACATGGTGTTTTAAAAGGGCAGGGAGATGGAGCTGTAGATTTGCCCTCTCTACATGTCAAGCCCCAGATTTGGCCACCAGCCTGGGGCGACTATGCCATATGCCATGACATTCCTTCTGTACCCTGGGGAGTTCCCAAGTGCTCTCTGCGGGCAGCTCAGCAAATCACCACTTACTACAGCCAGAGGGCACTTTGCACAGTCTACCCCAGAAGAGGTACACAGTGGATGACCATTGTGTAAGCTTCCCAGTATCTCCTTACCAACCCACCTTCCCCACAACTCAGAGGGAACCCCTCTAGGGGGTGAGGCAATAGGTGAGTCTTCATGCTCATTCTCACTGAAGTCTCTCTTCTCAGACTGTCAACAATGGTGCCTCATCTGTGTGCTGTTTTTGTGATGTGAACATCTGATCATGGGAACTAGACTAAGAGCATCACACTCAGTTCATAAGGGCCAGTGAATAACCATCAAACAGTGACAATTTTCCATCACTACTGACTTGTGCTGGATTTGAATGAGTGACATAGAAATGAAAAAGAAATACAGAGGGGAATGGCTTATTAAAACTAAGTGAGACTTCCAGTCTCCTTCAGCTTTGTTAGATTAATCCACTTTCTTTTCTTATACAACGTATTCCTATGTTTGCCCTTGTATTTGTAAAGATAAATGAACATGTTCTAATATTCTACCACACTGCATACACGCAACACTTACATACAATTTGGTTGGAAACATTTTAGTTACCAGCGCATATCCAAAAATTATTAACTTTATTAAATCAGTTCTATTCCTTGCATGCATGCCACTGTGGTTTTGTATTTATAAAGAAAATGTGCTCAAATACTGTTTGGCACCTAGAAACATTTTATGCAAAATATTAAGAAAACAAGATTGATAAGCATTCTTTCATCAGATCCACTTACTTGGGTTTGGAGGGAAGAGTGTACAGCTTTTGCAGTGAATTATTTCTTTGACTACAGGCACATCTGTTGGTGGTGGCGGCACTAACCCCATGCCTGGTATCATCGGGTTAATTGGAGTTATTCCAGTCATCATGCTGAGGCTTGGATCAAAGCCTGGTACACAGATTGAATCTGTAAATACATCACATAAAACCGTGGCTTATAAATCTTGAAACTACTTCTTGTTTCCATTTTCCTGCACAGACCGTTTTGCTCTAGGCTTTTTTTCTAGGTATCACTGGATAAAAAAAGGAAAAAGAAAAAAAAAGGCTGCATTTCAGCCATCCAGCCCACTGAAAACAAATTAAAACTATGCATAAAGGAGGAAATGTTATATCATTTAAAATATTAATATGACTGAGTGCAACACAGCACATTAACGTGTAAAACCATGCACCATCAAGCTCTGTTATTATCTAGAATGCAATTTTCTATTTTATAATGCCAGTGTGATGTTTACACTGCCTTCTGACCCAGAATGTGGGAAGAATATCATTTAACACTGATATGCCCTCTATATCTAATTGTCAGTTTTAACAAAACTTAGTCTTCTCACATAAGAGACCTTGATTTATGAACACCATGGAAAAAGCTCCACTTCTAAGTGTGTTTTATATAAGTCTGGCCTGACAAAAATTCCAAATGTTTTTTTCTTGGAAACTAAAGTTGGTACTGCACCTAATAAGATCTTGTTTGAAGCTGAGAATTAACTTATTCTCAAGCTGGTATTTAGCTGGTTTAGTAAATTCTCTTAAACACACCTATTATTAAATACATATTTATAGTTCCCTTAAGTAAATTCATATGAAAGGCATATTTGGTTTTCATACACCCTTCATACATCTCTTTGCCAAACATTACATACGTATTGTTTAAATCTGAAATTTAGTTGGATTTTATAGCACCAAACCTGTGGCATCCTGAATTAGAATAAGCAGATGTTTTAGATGAACATGAAGTCAGTTTTTTAAATTCTCATTTGTTAGAAACATGTTTTTTGGTTTCTTGAGGCACAATAAATAAAATATTTTGAGAGAGCGATCTCTTTGTTGGCACAACACTGCTGCTATTTGATGTCATCAGTTATTTAAAAGAAAAGTGAGTTACTTGGGTTGTCCACAGGTTTTCTGCAGAGCTTTCTGGATAGCAATTGCGAAGTATTTAATGGTGCATGCAAAGTCAGGAGTTAGTTCAGCAGCTTGGGAGTGTGCTTTGGACAAAGAGAGAAACTGTCTTTTTTTGAGAGTACAAATTGGAAAACTTGAACTACACCTTGTTATGAGGCAGCATGATGATTGGTCCACGCATAGACCCAAGAACCTGGAAATCCTCAATTGTAATTCCTCGGTCCGGCACTGATATGCTGTGTGGCCCTGGACAAGTGTACTAACTGCTCTGCAGCTATAAAACAAGTATAATAACACTTTCTACCTGCAAAGATTAACTCAAGTGTGTTTAGCACTTTGTAGGTGTAAAGCACACTGCAAAGTGCTAAATATGATCTCTGTATTATTACTTGCTGAAATACCAGTAATCCTCTTTTACCAAATTCACATAACAAAAAACCAAAAGTCAAAATGCTCTGGCTGAGAACTGCTATGCCAGTAGAAATACTCTCTAGTTCCGCTGCACACTCCCGATTGCCCCAACACTGACTATGTTCTGCTTTCAAGCCATTCTGTTTTATAGCAAGCACACAGCAAGCAAGAATTTGCTCTAGGCTTATTGAAGACTAGTATTAATGAAAGCTCATGATATTACATTACTTTTTTCTAATAAGTGGGCTTATGAAAAAGGATTTGCTCTGGGTGTGAATTTTTTCCCTTTTTCTTTCTTTTTTTTTAATATAGAGGCATGTACATTGCTTCCAGATTATGCTTTGAAACTCCACAGCTGCCATTTATTTCATGGGAGGCAGTGGCTGCCATATTAAACATTCATGTTTCGGGAGTGCTGTGAGATAAACTCAGAGGTGAAAGGACGGGATGCAACTCACATGAGTCCTTAGGCGATTCTAATTTTCTCACTCGCATTTTTAAAAGTCACACTGCTGACAGTCACAGCAGGCCATGATCTCCCAAAAGCAGCCTGCGGTGGATAGAAGCCCATCCTTACAACTTGCTACCAGAAGTGCCTGGATAGTTCCATCACAAACAAAAAGTAACATTGCATAGTACTGAATGTGATACCTTCTATCATGTCACACCCAGATAGGTAACTATAGGCAGCATCCAGAGAGGGACCAACACATTCTGAAAGATGCAGGGAATCAGGCAAAGTTCTCCATGCTGCTAATGCATCTCTCAGGGGCTTTCTAGAAGCCAGTGGAAAACACTACCATCTGGTTGTACTCATGTAGGATGTATAAAGGTTGCATAGGGCCAATACTTCTGTACTATATTTCAACATGCCCTGGCATCTCTGTCCCCTGATAGGTGCATGTGGTGAGACAGAGGCATAGTCAGGAGCTCCTGAAAACTAATTTCACTTCTCACGGGGCCTGATCCAAAGCTCAATGAAGTTAATGAAAGATTCTTGTTGATTTCAGTGAGCTTTGGCTTAGGTCCACAATGGCTTTCTCTGTGGCTTTGGGCAAGTCATTTAACTTCTGAGGTTCAGCTTCCCTAGCTGTTAAATTGAGACTGAAACACCTGCATGCCTCACAGGGGTTTTGTGAGGATGCATTAGTTATGTTTGTAAAGCACACTGAAGAAGGAAAACATTATATGAATGCTAGGAGTTGTTATTATGGATTGCAGTGTTGCAAACATTTCCCAGCCATGACATCTGCATGTATTTGACTGTGAACTAGGGTCTTGTAGCTAACCCCCTTGCAACTTCCAACAAAGAAATTCAGTGGATATGCCATAATACAGTACAATGTGCTATGCTTATGTTTCACTCATACAGTAATGGCAAATAGGTGTTTTATATTTCTTTTCTAGTTGTCTTTATTTCATCATTGTGAACAGCTTGGGGATATAACAGCAAGTTAATCATTTACTCACAAAGTGAGAACTTGACATTTTATTTTCCTTTTGGAGGTTCTACTTTATTTTGCTGGCCAGTACCACACCAAACCTGTTTAACAGATACACAGGGTCTCTATCTCACATGGGCTACAGTATCTCTTTGGCCACAGTAACAGATTTCCCAAACCTTAAGTTTTGCCTTTCTATTTTCAACTGGATTAAGATCACCCTACCAATCTATCTATTACCAGATAAGAATGTTTTTCTTCTTGTGTTTAACATTTTGTTTCACTCCCACCGGACCAGATTACTAAAAATTAGACCTTTTTTAAAAATGGATAATCAAGGACAGTATTATGGAGATAATGAGTTCTTCAAATCACTTCTATCTTACAGTACCTCCTCAGTCTTTCCTGGATTCAGTTTCAGCCATATGGTCTTCATACAGCTGGTAATCTTGACCAGGCTCTTGTGGTATGTCTACACTATGAAATTAGGTTGAATTTATAGAAGTCGATTTTTAGGAAGCAATTTTATACAGTCGATTGTGTGTGTCCCCACTAAGCGCATTAAGTCGGCTGAGTGCGTCCACAGTACTGAGGCTAGTGTCAACTTTCGGAGAGTTGCACTGTGGGTAGCTATCCCACAGTTCCCACAGTCTCCGCCGCCCATCGGAATTCTGGGTTGAGCTCCCAATGCCTGATGGTGCAAAAACATTGTTGCGGGTGGTTTGGGGTTCGTCGTCAGTCGCCCCTCCCTCCGTGAAAACAATGTCAGACAATCGTTTCGCACCTTTTTTCCGTGCAGGTGCCATACTGCTTTCAGCAGATAGTGCAGTAGGACTGCTAACTGTCGTCATTGAACAACCACTTCCGCTGCCACTCTGCTCTCCTGCTCTGGCCACAGATGGTGCAATAGGTCGGAAAAACTGGTCTTCCAACCACCGCTTCCGCTGCCGCTCTGCTCTCCTGGTCTCCTGGTGGTCTCACAGGTCCTCTATATGACCGTCGTCATCCGCCGCTTCCACTGCAACTCTGCTCTCCTCCTGTCTCACTATACCACGGCAAGCGTGCAGCCTGCTCAGTTCAGCTAACGGACACCGCCACTGTTGTGACCTGGCAGCAGATGGTGCAGTAGGTCTGCAAAACTGGTCTTCCAACCACCGCTTCCACTGCCACTCTGCTCTCCTGCTCTGCTGCAAACGCCATACCATGGCAAGCATGGAGCCCGCTCAGATCACCGCGGCAGTTATGAGCATTGTAAACACCTCGCGCATTATCCTACAGTATGTGCAGAACCAGAACCTGCAAAAGCAGGCAAGGAGGCGATGGCAGCGCGGTGACGAAAGTGATGAGGACACGGACACAGACTTCTCTCAAAGCACGGGTCCCAGCAATTTGGACATCCTGGTGGCAATGGGGCAGGCTCATGCCGTGGAATGCTGATTCTGGGCCTGGGAAACAAGCACAGACTGGTGGGACTGCATCGTGTTGCAGGTCTGGGATGATTCCCAGCGTCTGCGAAACTTTCACATGCGTAAGGGCACTTTCATGGAACTTTGTGACTTACTTTCCCCTGCCCTGAAGCGCAAGAATACCAAGATGAGAGCAGCTCTCACAGTTCACAAGCGAGTGGTGATAGCCTTCTGGAAGCTTGCAACGCCAGACAGCTACCGGTGAGTCGGGAATCAATTTGGAGTGGGCAAATCTACTGTGGGGGCTGCTGTGATCCAAGTAGCCAATGCAATCACTGAGCTGTTGCTATCAAGGTTAGTGACTCTGGGAAATGTGCAGGTCATAGTGGATGGCTTTGCTGCAATGGGATTCCCTAACTGTAGTGAGGCAATACGCGGAATTCATATCCCTATCTTGGGACCGGACCACCTTGGCAGCCAGTACATAAACCGAAAGGGGTACTTTTCAATGGTGCTGCAAGCACTGGTGGATCACAAGGGATGTTTCACCAACATCAACGTGTCCGGGAAAGGTACATGACACTCGCATCTTCAGGAACTCTGGTCTGTCCGAACAGCTGCAGCAAGGGACTTACTTTCCAGATCAGAAAATAACCATTGGGGATGTTGAAATGCCTACATTTATCCTTGGGGACGCAGCCTACCCCTTAATGCCATGGCTCATGAAGCCATACACAGGCAGCCTG